GTAGTTGGTCGTTCGTTGTATGTCTCTCTCTCTCTCTCTCTCTCTCTCTCTCTCTCTCTCTCTCTCTCTGCTGTCAATATAACAAGAGGTTCATGCCTCCGGGTTGTCTCCTTTGTCACTCTTCTTGGTACAATGGCAGCAGGGCAGTTGCCTGAAAAAACCGACCTATTTATCTTCTAAAGCAAATAAACAGTTTTCTTCTTCAAGATAGTGACTACAGGGCATGGAGACTATCTGTGTTTGAGTCGGATTCGAAGAATCGGACTCACCTACCTTTAATTTGGTTGGTCCAATACAACACATCCATAAACATATAAGTTAAAAGTTGGCACTGTGCATGTGTGTCTATCTATATTTTTGAGAAAAAGGTTAACTGCATTAAAATAAAAAAATTACATTTTTTCTAATCCTAAAGAATCCCAAGAGCTTCAGTAACCTGATGAAAGAACTGACAAAAATTACGGTAGTAAGGTTTGGACCTTAGCAACCTGATGAAAGAACTGGTGAGAGCATCGTGCCCCTGCAAGTTGGTAGAGAAACTGGTGGCTCTGTTTTTTGGCAGCATAGATTACAGCGTATCCCATAGTAGTAAACATTGAGAACCATAATGCAAAAGGGGTTAATGTGGAGTAAGCGAGGATAGGTATGAGAATGAGATTCCCAAGGAGGAAGAATGAGGAGGTGCCAATGTAGTCGATGACGATGTCCTAGGGACACCAACTGTCCATAGCGTAATGCCCCTCCCTAGATTGTCTATTCCCATTTCTTGGAGTAGTGTGTGGATGAAAAGATAGAGGATGAGAGTAGGAGCATGTGACCCTCCGTAGATTATGTATTCCCATATCTTGGAGTTGTTTGTGGATGGGTGGAGGATGAAAAGACAAAGGATGAGAGCGTGAGTATGTTAAGTGCTTCTGCAGTGGATTAAGTGGAAGGAGGGGTTGGACCCAGATTGGTTATTGAGGTGGAGCTGCTATGAATTTAGTGGAAAAGGTTGGAGCAGGCATGTTCTAAGGGGAAATGGAGATAGAGAGATAGGTAGAAGAGGGAAATGGGTGCGCGAGAGCACTACAACTGTGATAGAATTTTGATAAGAGGTTTAATTGGAGTAAAAATGGAAGAAGAGAGTGGGGGTTGGGGGATAAAGATTATAGAGATGCGTACCTGAGATTAGTCTCTGGTCGAAGTGAGGACTCCAACCTTCAGGACAATTGGTGATGAAGTAACGACAGGGTTAGGGGACTCCAACCTTCGGGACAATTGGTGATGAAGTAACGACAGGGTTAGGGGACTCCAACCTGATATTAAAATTTGATCGACTGCTGATTCTGCTGCGACTGGGGCAAAATTTATGAAAAGATGACCAGGTCCCAAATACTATGATAGTAGAAAGCCCAACAATCAGGAGAGAAAAAATTGAGAGAGAATGATACGCCCCCTTTTTTTATTTTTTTGGGAGGGAATGTCCTTTCTTTTTTTTATCGAAAGACTTGGATGAGGAGAAGGGAAAGACTTGATAAGGTCAGGTAGACTGCTTCAATTGACCGAGAGATTCTCCTTCCCTAGCCAGTCGATCAGCGTCAGAATTTTCATATCGGAGAATATGTGAAAAGGAGACATGTGGCAAAAGGTTGCAAATATGGAAACTATTGTCAAATAGGTATAAAAGTCTCCAGGGAGGCACTTGCCCTTGTGTAGCCCAAGCAACTATGTTACTGGAATCTAACTCCACCAGAATCCCAAGAGCTTCAGGAGCTAAATGGAGCCCCTTGTTTAGTCCTACCAAAAGGGCCATAGCTTCCGCATAGGTTGAATCTTGGTATCCTATGAATTCTGAGAATTGCAAGATGGGTGAGGTGGGGCTATTCAGTGTTCCTCCTACTTCCGAAGGGCCAGGGTTATCTAGGGAGGAACCATCTATATTAAGTTTGAGGTAACCTTGGGGAGGGTGGGTCCACTGGGGTCGAGGTCTGTTTGTATGAACATGAAGGTGTAAGAGGCTTTCCCAATTATTTAAGAAATGGGATATTTGTATTGTGGCAAAAATAGGAATAGAATTGGCCCAGAAAGATATCAAGGCTGTAATGGAGTCAAAAACTGATTGGGAAGTTTTGATAGTACCTCTGAAGGTCCTAGAGTTTCTTTCCAACCAAAGGCTCCAAATTAGAGCTGCAAGGGAGATATGTCATAACTTTCTTCCTATCTTTGAAAAAGGTGGTGCAAAGTAAATTTGGAACAGTTGGGTTAAGGTTTTTTGGGATTACCCATTGTAATCCAAAGAGGTTTAGGAGTGAAGACCAAAGATTTTGTGATACCTCACAGTGAAGAAAAAGGTGAGAAATGGATTCCTCCTCTATTTGGGAATGAGAATCCCCTCTTTTTAAGTTGATCAAGGGTAAGAATTTTACCTTGAAGAGAACCCAGACAAAAGCCTGGATTTTGTGAGGGATGGGTAAAGACCATGATAGATTTGAAGAGGTTTCAGAGTGGGATTGGGAATGAGGGAAGAATAGAAGGACGAAACTGAGGGGGCAGGGGACCAAATAAGTGAGTCTAGTCGATTGAGGGTGCTAAAAGAGCTTCCTAAAGTTTGCATAAGATAGATAAAGGATGAGGATTCCTGTCTTCCTGATCTATTAGATTCCATCTGAAAATGGGTGTCCATATTAAGGATGCACCTGAAAATGCTACATATTCTGCCACTAGAGCCTTCGAGTTTCTGGCGACCAGAAATAGTGAAGGGAAGACTTCCGAGAGAGAAGAGGTTTCAATCCAAATGTCAGTCCAAAAATGGATTCTAAGGCCATCTCCGAGATGAAACCTAATTCTATTGATGAATTCTGTCCTAGTTGAAGAGATACTTTTCCAAGCCCCAGAAGATCTATGAGGAGGAGACCTAGGAAGTCAATCGACTCCGTTAAGTCCATATTTTACTTAAATTATCCCTTTCCAAAGAAGGGGATGGGGAAGGCAAATTTCCACTGCTATTTCCCTAGGAGGACATGGTTCAAAAGTCTAAGGTTTTTGATACTTAGACCACCAAATTTCTTTGGAAGACATACTAGATCCCAGTCCACTAGATGTATTCTCCTGTTATCTTCCACCATTGACCAGAGGAAATCTCTCATAAGTTTTTCCAATTTCTGAATAATCGAGATAGGAATTTGAAAGAGAGACATGGAATTAATGGGGATACTTGCAAGAGTCGCTCTTATTAAGGTGATTCTACCTCCAAAAGATAGAAAACGACCTATCCAAGATGCAAACTTCCATGTGAACCTCTCTATCAGGTTATCCCACATATTTTTCCTGGGCTTGCCTATGCATAGTGGGAGGCCTAGGTATGAGGATGGAATTGTATAAGTAGTGCATCCTAGACGATGAGCCAAACTCTGAAGAACTGATGGATCAACATGTGTACCAATCATTTTAGTTTTGGAGAGATTGACTTTCATTCCTGTAAGAAGTTCAAAAGATTTCAGAAAACGTCGCAACCAATCTACTTGTGAAGGATTTGCATCGCAGAAGATGAGGGTGTCATCTGCATAAAGGAGGTGGGTAATTATTGGACCTAGATGAGAGGTCTGGAACCCAGTGAGAGAGTCTGAATCATAAAGACGAGAAATTGCCTGACTGAAAAGTTCCCCTATCAAGGTAAAGAGGAAGGGTGAGAGAGGGTCGCCCTACTGAAGGCCCCTTTTAGCTTGAAAGAATCCTTCTGGTTCCATTGATGAGAATGGAGATTGAGCGGTTTGAGATGTATTCGGAGATCCATTTTCTCCATTTGTGGCCAAATCCCATTTTAGATTGGATAGACTCAAGAATATCCCAGTCTACCCTGTTGTAAGCCTTTTCCCAATCTAGTTTTAAAACTAAACCAAGCTGACCC